CATGAGGACTAGGACTTGTGGGCGTGAGGCTGCTCCTATCTGTCTATAGAGGGCCTCATCTGCTCGGTCTTCCTGGTCAGGTGGCCTGTAGCAGACCCCCACTGTAATGTCCCCTGTCCCTGCCTTCCCTTTAATCCTGACCCATAAGCTCTCGGTCAGCTCCTCATCCATCCCCAGGCAGAGCTCCATGCACTCCAGCTGGTCATTGACATGGAGGGCGACACCCCCTCCCTGTCTCCCCTTAAAGTGATACTGTAATCTAGACTGGTCTGAGGATCCTTCCCTTGGAGGAGAAAGCCACCAACCAACATGAGTAAAAATTCATTTACCAGTTTGTATTTTATTGGGAATTTCCAACTTTATGAAAATAATTTGCTCAATGTATACTTCATTGTCATATACAACAAGCAGGGCTTCTAGATTAACATTCAGAATAGTGTATCCTCGTTATCTAAAATTTAATAGAGAATATTCAAGTCTGGACCGCTCTCCCACCATGACTTTAGATTTACACTCATGTAGCCATCTGCAATATTCACAACTGTTTCCTAAGATACCTTCCTGATGATAAAAAAGCACCTGTACTACAGGCAAGTCTTAATCCAATACAGTAATTTGGCATTTGAGAACAAGTGACAGAAGGCCAGCACAACAAGAGCTCAAAGACATACACGCATAAAGACATTCTCCGAGGAAAGAAGTCTCCCTCCCAAATAACAAGTTGACAGCCAAGAGCAAAAGCATTTCCATACAGATTTTGACATTTCAGCTGCTTTATTGTAAAGCTTCAGAGTACTCAAAGACATAGAAGATCATCCACGCTCAAGGTTTTGCTTTCACTAAGAGCTGTTGGTTAACATTAACAGCAGTAAGGAGAGTATTGCCTGCTCTAGTTCATCAGTTAATAACTAATATGTTTAAAGTAGAACCAGACGTCTAAGCAGCTAATTAAAATGGAAAATTTCATATACTTAAAATGTGGAGTCATGCAAAAGAGCTTTGGAAGATGAGCAATAAAATAGACTACTGTTTAGATTTAAACCAATCAGCTAAAGTACTCTCTCTTGTAAGAAGAGACAGCATCCTGGGGCTTTTACACAAGGCTATCTGAAAGAAGCGTAGCTTCACAGTCCCAACTAGGGGAAAGTCCCCAGACAGCATTAAAACTTTTGGACAACTTTATCAGACTGGCTTTTGCATCTCTGACTCAAAACTATGCTTGCTTTATTACAGCCACAAAGAACAGATCCTGATTTTTAAACACACATGCATGGGTCCACTTGTTAGGGCACACATGTACTCTTACCCCACTCCACCTTATCAAAGTTGGTTTAACTAGTAAAAGGGACACAAATGGGCTACTCCGCACAAGTAAAATTGACAAATATTCCTCTGAAACAGCAGACAATTATTTAATCTAAAGCCAAATCCTCCCCAAAAGTTATTTATCAAGGTTGCAAATAGGCCCACAGAAGTGGCCAGGAATCCCTCCACTAGATATTGAACATCCCCCTCATCAAACCCACATGCACCCCATCAGCAAACAGACAATTTAAAAAAAACTAGACACAGCTCTTGCCACTATCAGTTTAAAGTCTTTTTGTAAACAATGTTTTTCCCCTCAAATTCTAAATTTCACAAAATTTCAGTACAATCTTTTCTCTAGGTCAGATTTAGGTGACTTGAAAAAGATTAAGGACAAAACTATTATATATCCTAGCAAACATCAGTTGGGCCCCCGTATTACTGTTAGGAAAGATCCCCTTATGGGAAAATCTGAAAAACCTTTTGCGTTATTTCTAGAAGAGCACTTCACACACACAGCATAGCGAAGAATAAGGCAGAATGAACAAGGTTTTATGCCCAGAAGTGTAAATGAAGATTACTAAAGTCAAACAACACAACAGGGAACTCAAGCTCTCAAAGAATATCCATCTGAAACTGCCAGTCATCTTGTTTATGATCTCGTTTAAGTGCATTTCAAGCAAAGCCATCAGTAGTTGAGTCTGTTGGACTGCTTAAAAAAAAAAAACCCCAACCCAACCCTGCAATTAGTGTTTGCTCCACTGCTGTGCCAGGATGTGTCAGTCTGCAAGAAATGCAGGCTTGCTTCTACTGACTATGGTGCATCTGACTGCACTCAGTTAGCATGATTCTAGAGATCATTTATAGCATCGTGGACCAACAAAATAACGTTACAGGCTGAGGTCTGGTACCAGGTCAAAAGACACATGAAGCAGTGAACTCCTCCAGTATTTTCAGCACAGAACATGGACCTCAGACGTTCCTCCTAACTGTGCTAGAAGACCTATATACAGCTTTATTATAAAACCTCTGTTATGGAAGGTAGTCTTCTTCCAACCTCTGTACGAATGGAAGAAAAAAAATTCTCATTCACATGGTATCTTCTGATCAGCACTCCACATATGCGTGGCTGTACACAAAGCTAGACCCTTAAAATGCAAAATGTATGGAAACCTGTGTTTTACTCAGCTATTACCTCAGCAATAGTTTCTTCCCCCTTGGTAACCTGCACATTTTCTTTCCCATTTTTTGAGATTTCAGTAATAGAATTAGTTTGCAATAATTTATCCTTTAGGAAATTACAGGAGGTTTAAGTCAAAATACTAAGTTTGTATTAAAGTGGTAATTTAACAGCTATCTCTAGCACACAGATTTCTGTGGGCATTTGGTGCCTGAAGCATGTTGCCCTACACCGATAAATAGGGAGATTCACATCAATAATTCTGTGAATGCTGCCATGCATATGGTATGCTTATACCATATGTGGCATGTTTATAAGTAGCTGCAGTTAATCAGATGACATTCACCACTACTGAAGAGACAAAAGTGTTCAGTTATTAGGTTGTAACTGGAGTTGTGGCACTCTGCCCTATGCCACCATTGAAACTGCTGCCAGAAAAGCCTCAATAACAGCATCACTGAACGAAACGTTTGCTTGTCCAGTCTAATCCAAACAGCTTCACATTTACAGCGATCTTGGTAAGCAACAACCAGGAAAGCCCAGAACTACTTGAAGCATTTCCATCAGATCTTAAAAGGTGTAAGGATGTCTCAGAATACAAATACAAAGGAAAAGACAGTTCGCGCCGGAGGGGGGAAAAAAAAAGTTACCAGCCTTGATTTGTCAAGGACAAGGGCACATCCTGTGCCAGCAGGCTCAACTCTGCTGCCCCGAAGCCATTCTGCTCCATTTACTGGAGTACATTGGTTTATATAAGCATGTACTAAATACAGAGAGGAAGCTTTCTACAGTTTGAATCTGAAAGACATTTTTGTAGTATTATGCAAACAGGGGTAAAATATGCAGATTTAAGAGCAAAAGCTGTAGAAAAGGAAAAGAAAGATAGCTCATGTAAGAGCAACCAGAACAGCCGTACAGAACAGAGGTAACATATCACTCTTGGAAGAAAAGCAAATGTTGTAAGTCGTTAGCATAACAGACAAACCTTTTCTTCTGAGCTGTAATTTGTGCTGTAACTAGCATCAAAAACACTAGCAAATATCAGTGATAGCAACACTTACCTCACACCTATAAGTAGTGCTATCAGCATTGAACAAATAGGATCTGCTATCATTAGACCATAGTTCTGCATCAATATAGCAGATATGATTACGCCAATACTTCCGAGCGTGTCTGCCACAATGTGTAGAAATACACCTGTAAGAGATTAATTGATATCATTACAACTTGGTGTTCTTAAAGCTAATGGAGTATTTCAAAGACAGGTTACGGAGAAGAGTTGCAAGAACTAGGTAACATGATTTATGCTTGTTAAATTTGTGGTCAATTTTTGGTTAAACACACAGAAAGTGATCACAGGATTTCAACGTATTTGTAGAATATAGAGCATTTGAAGAATTTACATTATTTTCTGCACTTAGCAGTAAGGGGTATTTCATGGCATGGCTATCAATTTAAGCAGTGATTAACAGATGTAGCTAGATTTTTTTTTTCATTCAATACCTACCCATATTACAGTAAAGAAACTCATGTTCCCTGATGCCTACAGACAACAATAAGCACTGTATATGATGGAAAGACTGTTAACAGAAACAGCTCTGTAAAGCTTTGAAAGATGCTAACGTTTCATTGGCAATACCTGTAGAAGTTATCTGGCAAGGAAATCCAAGACAAATGATTTTGAGAATTAAACAATGCTGCGGACATGAACAACTTCACTTTTATTTTGAAGAATAACACACTACCTTAAAAGACAAAGAAACAAGCACTTTGCAGCTAGCAAAAATTTAGCCTTTGGAGCTCCCTGCTGGCAATGACGGGAACACTTATTCAGAAACAGCTTTTTTAATACAATTCTCCATACTCGGATAATCCCTCCTCACAAAAACAACGCACAACTATAAATCAGCTCTTCAGTGATTTTTCCAAGTCTACATTTGTAGCGGGTCTGGCTGGGATGGAGTTCGGTTTTCTCCATAGCAGCCTGCATGACGCTGTCGTTTAGATTTGTGACTAAAACTGTGCTGATAACACCCCAATGTTTTAGCTGTTGCCAAACAGCGCTTGCACAGCATCATCAAGGCCTTCCGTTCCTCACTCTGCCCCCACAGCAAGTAGGGCGGGGTGGGCAAGATGCTGGGAGGGGACACAGCCAGGACACCTGACCCCAACTGACCAGAGGGATATTCCATACCATATAACATCACGCTCAGCAATAAAACTGAGGAGCAGTCTTTCTAAGTCAGCAGTTGCTCAGAGACTTCCTGGGTATTGATCTGCTGGTGGGAGGTGGTGAGCGATTGTCTTTGCATCACTTTTTTTTTTTTCCCCTCTTCACTTACTAAACTTTATCTCAATCTAAGAGTAGTTCTCGCTTTTACTCTTCTAATTCTCTTCCCTGTCCCACTGCAGGAGTGAGCAAGCAGCTGCTGGGTGCCTAGTTGCTGGCTGGAGCCAACCCACCACAGTATTGAAAAATTAAAATAAAATTATGTAAAATTGAGTCTTTTTAATATGCTTCAATTAAAACGTGCCTTTCATGAAAGACTGACTTTCAAATATCTTCTACTGAAGTACTGAGCTTACATATATGTAATATGGTATACTATAAATTCTGGAAGAGGTTGAAAATGTTCTTTTTCAAGGACTACAAACAAGCCAGAAAATCATCCAACAAGAGAAAACAGTGTGTACATTCGGGTATGCCAAATAATTACTACCTCTTACATTACATTATTTTCTCCCTCTTGAACGCTGCAAAAAAATTAATCAAAGCTCAAATTACTGATAATGTAGATGTCAGTTTTATTTACACTAATGTTCAGGAGATCATGGACTCCAAGCAATTTAGAGTGAATTACCATCTTGTCTAAACCAACTGTAATAGCTTGATGAGATGCAAGTTTTAAGCTCAGGTACCCTTTAACAACTATCTCAAATCTGCATTTTTCAAATACATTCTCTCTTAATAATACTGTTTTTCACTTTCCAGAGCGAACATTGCAATTAGGCTCCTAAAGTTTCTGCTTTTAACCACTTTCCTGGATTTTTATTATTTGACTTTTCAGCATCAGTAACAGAAGCTGAATCCCAGCTTTTGGGATCTCCCTTTTAAACTGTGTTGACACTGCATTACATTTAGACTTCAGTGAGCATCTCAACACCGAGCCATGCACAGGGTATGGCACTGCTCTGTTTACAGGTGGAAGGGGACTTCATAAAATAGCTCCTCTAAGAAAAATGTAGTGTTTACCCGGAGGCACCATCTGAAACAGATGTGTGACAAACAGTCACAGGCAGGCAGACCGTGATAAAACTAATAAACCACTGTACTTATTTTCATCATACCTTGTAAAATCTGTTTGCTGGATCCAGCCATCCCTTCAAGAGAATGGTCATCTGTGAAGACAATTATTGGCATATTAACCTACACAAAGGCTCTCTCTAGTGGTATATTCTGTTATGGTCTTCCTTTCTGAAATTTCTTGAACAGACAAGCTGCTCACAATGACTAGCTTTTACTCTAGCTATTGTTTAATGCAGCAATTAAGTTAAAAGTCTTAAAACACTTTTTTTTTTAAAGAAAATAGCACTTTACATAATAGATTTTATATATGTATACATAAAAATAAAAAGATCAACATTTGTTTTTAATGAAAACAAACTGAGAAATAAGACCTTTCTTATATAATAAGAAAAAAAATAAGGCCCCCTCAAGAATACAAGCCATACACACAAACAAGAGTAAGGTTAAATAAATTTGCTAACCAGAAATATTTCACTTAAGCAAGCATTTATACCTATTGTAAAACAACAAGGATAAGACTTGGAGAAGGTAGAACTAAGTCAAAAAATCCTCTCATCCAAGCAGATGAATGCCTCTGTGGAACACATCAGAAAGATTTTAAGAAAAACTTGTTAAAGGATCGCAAATGACTTCCAGTGAAGATATACAATAATTTATGCAAAAGTTGATTCGAATATCAAATTGCACAAAACAGATAGCTACATTTGCTGTTCCACTGGGGTGGGGGGCACGGGGAGAGCAAGGAAGAGGCAGGAGCAGGGAGCTCCTGCTTTCCAACCAAACTCCAGGAGAACACTCGGAAAACAAGCACCAATTTTCTACTAAAAATAGCAAGGAAGGTACACATAAATCTTTTTATACTCTTTGTCACCTCCTGCCTGCAAGTTACCACGCTATTCCCTGCTCTGAATGGGTACATTTTCAGTCACATCAGATTCTAGTTTATGGCTTAGGCAGGAAGGATTGACAACCCTGCATTACAACAAGGCTTTCATTTGTATTGTTTCAAATAGATAGTAACCACACTGTCTCTTCTCCCATAGTGAAGGCTACCGATCATATTTTGCATGGATGTCTCTTCACAGATTGTTTGCCTTTATAGAAAAGATTTAAGCACAGCTAAGATACCAAGTACCTTTTTCATAACCAGCTTTAAAACAGATTACAATTATACAAGACAGGGAAAATCTTATATATCCTCCTAGCAACCAAGTATGACATATCAATGCCTAAGTACCCAAAGTAAAATTGCTTGTTCATCTTTCTTAAGATCTTGATCTGTAAGATTATTCAAGTGAAGAACACTAGCAAAGCAGCTTAACTTGTCCATTGATTTTAATGAAAAATTGAAACAAAGCACTCGATAACTAATTTCACTATATTGCTATAGCATACATCTGTTTTATCTTTTGCCAACACGTAACATTACAATGAACATTCAAAAAATGCAGGTAAAGCAAAACCTTTAAAAACTAAAACTGAACTTACTGCAAGTGAAACAGCACTTACCAAAATGAGCCACAAAACATGGTGATGGCATAGCATACCACACATTTAGTGAAACTACTTCCATATATGCTCACAACAAGCTGCCAGCACCCTCTCTTTTTTTTCAGTAAATCATTAATAGCAAATTTAAATTGAGTCAAGATGGTCTGTGACATTAACTAAGTACTTACCATGACAATAATCCTGACCATGAGAGTGTCCATGGCTATGGCCACGATCATGAGCGTGTCCATGAGCGTGTTTATGTTCATGGCTGTGACCATGACCTCCGTGACTGTGTCCGTGGCTGAGACCACCATTAAATAGAGAATGGCTGTGTTCATGCCCTATAAACAAATATCACCATCAGAGTATAAGTTTAAGTGTTGAATAAAAGTATGCTTACATTTGTTTCTAAGCTACTCGAAACCTATTAATGTTTTAGGTCGTGTTAAGGTATGGCTTTAAGTAAGTTAAGAAAATTAACACAAGCTGTTTGTCATCTAAATCTATGCTGTGCAGCTGTGTGATACATACCTGATTTGAGAAGTCAAGTGCTTTTATACATTCTTACTTCGAGACAAGTTGTGCTACACTTTTAGTACAATTTGGAAAATGTACACATAATTAGATAGAAGCACATTAAAACCAGCTGTTTTAAGAAACCAGAAATCGGCTATCATTCACACATTAAAAATTCAAGCTTAAATTGCTGCTTAAAGACCAAAGACTATTTTCTGCCATCAGTCTGTATCAGTTTATATGTTAAGCCGAAAGAGATACCAATTAGCTTTGCAGAAAAAAAACCCAAACAAAATGTTTACCATATATATTTAGGCAAATAAATTCTGCATTCAAATTCAAAAGACACTACGTTGAGAAGCACCTGAGGCTGAATCATCCCATACTTAAAATTTGGTTCAGACACTGTTTTGTAAATTTTCCAGCCAGGACCTCACTTAACTCCAGCTTAATTTTGTCCAAAAGACACTCTGCAAATCACTTCCAGTAAGGTGCAGAAGAGTGCATGTTCCAGAAAGCAGATTCTGGCATGCTCGGTCTTCCAGTTAATAGATATTAACATGAGAAGTACGGTAGTGACATACTAGGGCTAGTGATAAAACATGAAAGTCAATATTGCAACAAGTCACATATGCATTTGGCTAGGATTGCCACTAAAAAGACATTAAAATTTAATCCTGGGGTTCTCATTGGAAGATTATAAGGTCCTGGAACACAGGGTGCCAAGAAAGGAAACAGTACTGAAAATTATAGACATCCTACCAGAGCCATGTGAATGCCCATGACCTCCGTGTTGAAAAACAAATATTCCTATAAGATTTACAATGAATCCTAGTATAGAAACAGGAAGAAGTCTCTCATGATGCACGTCAGGAGGCTCCAGTGCTCTCTAAAAAAAAACAAACAAATAAACCCAACAAACCAAGAAGCAAATGTAGAGTTCTACAATCTCTTTGCATTATTAAAAGGCACTGAAAATAATGCTTAGATACAGGAGCATTTTCATACAAACAGGCATGTATAAAGACATAATTAGAAATTACTCAGGACTTACAGTTTTTGGGATGGTACACAGACTAATTCTTACTGTCTGAAGCTGAAGTTTTATTAGTAAAGCTGTGAAAGTACAATATAATATTCTGATAGTCTAGCTAACTTTTATCATAACATTTCATTGTGCTGTGGGATGTGGCTCAATACCATATGAAAACATTCAAGTTTGTTGTCATATGTGGATTGCCCGTCATCCAAACAACTTCCGAGAGTCTAGAACGTCATTTCTTCCCTTCTCCTTAGAATGGTGAGGGGATGAGGGGAACGAAATGAAGATTGAGAACAAATTTGGCATTTTTCAAAACTTCTAAAATCTAGATTTTTTTTTTTTTAGTTCTTTTTTACCCTACTCTCTTTGGAAGTTTCTTTTCAATGAGACATTATAGGCCTAACACAATTTGGATCTGAAGCTAAGTGTTGCAAGAGTGAACATAATCAATTTCAATAATTTTATCCCCATTAAATATGCTCTACAAATAGAAATGTGACAGTTGATAGTGCAATTGACTTCATAACATACCTCAACACCTTCAGAAAAAATGAAGAATGCTGTAAAGATGAGGAATAAACCATTTACAAAACCAGCAAGTACTTCTGCTCGAACATACCTGCAAGAAACAAAAAAGCAAGAACAGATATTACCACCTCCATTTAAATGCTGAAAATTAAGAGTGGAACTTAAGAGACTGGAGTACAACCTTGTAGTTCTCAAACAGCTGTATTACACAGAGATTTGCTAAATGGAAGGCGCAATATATAAACTACAGGTAAGTATATGAAATTCACTATGTTGTATTTTGACAGAAATTACTTGATCTAGATCAGCCATTACCTGATCTAGATGAAAGAAAACTTTCAAATACGTCAAAATCTTCCCACTTAAGATCATCTCTACTGATAGTTATGGTATAAACAGATCTTTGGAAGCCACAAAGTAAGATAAGCATGCGAGATGTAATCAAAGTCTGCTGATGTAAAATCCTGTTTAATATCAAACAGCCATACATTAATCTGCTCCCCCTCTAGTTTTTGGGGGATTTTTAGTAAAAGTTTTAAGTAGAAATTAATTATTTCAGCTACTAAATTTTTCCAATAAAGAACAGCCAGGTTAGAATAACATGCAATTCCAATGTAGCAAACATCAGACTTAATAAATTGTGGCTTTTCTCTAATAAATGGAACACCAGCTGTTTAAATGCAGAGCAGTAATTAATACAGAACCTGCTTTCATTGCAATTATTTCATGGTACAATCAATTCTTCCTAAATTGATTTCTAGGCACACTGGAGTTTCCACCTTAATTAAACAGTGCTTTAAGTGTCAAACTACATGACCCAGGCTTAGGCAAGACACCTGAAGCTAGATGCTGACATTCAGGTCAGTAATGCTATGGGGAATGCAGCAACCCACGTTACGGCTCATTTGCTGTTAATTGATCACTATCACCAATTAATAATATTGTATCACCAGTATTGTTTTATAGGGCACAACTGCAACGTGCAAGGGAACAAGTGCCCTTCAAACAGAACCAGCTGCAGCAGCTGTATCCACGAAGGGCGGTACGGAATGACATACCTCAGCCTTGAGGATCTGTGTTAGTGGTAGCCACAGCTGTTGAATCCTGCTGGTTCTGAGAATAACCTCAGGTGCAGCGTCACTGAGACTTAGCTCCTTTCAGTTGTAACTTTCTGTTCCAAAGAAGGCATGGGGCACCAGGAGTCCGAGATATCTGAGATTCCCTATAACACATCTCACTGCGCTGTGAGGACAACCCCACGATGCGGCTGCTCTTACTTTACTGGTGCCACAAACACATGACAATGGAGGACCACTTTCTGCTGCATAACTTGTTTCCACTAGTATGATCACAGAGATCTTGGAAGTGATAAACCTGCTCCCCAAAAGCAATGCCTTCACTTTTTTACTGTTTCTAGGGGGATATTAACTTAAAGGTTTACATAACTCACCTTAAAAACCCACCCTTTCAACACAGCTTTTCCATGTTCTGCAAAAAAAGGTTTTGTTCATACAGTGAAAAATTACCACCTAGACATTTACTAAAATACATTAAGGTAACAGCCTGAAGTTTCTTACCCATATGAGAAAGCATCGTTTGACCTCCATTTTGAAATAACTGAAGCTGCTAATCCAGCCAATAGAGCAGTACAGTCAAAAAACATATGAAAAGAATCTGATATTAGACCTAAACTGGAAAAGAACAGGAAAAAAAAAATGTTATGTTCCATACACTACATGTTGAGTATGAAAAAAACAGCATTTAATCTTTTACACACTAGCAGAATACACTGTGTGTCTAAGCTTCAGACATGGTGTTGCCAGCACAGAGGAGAAACCCACACTAGATCACCAATACAAATATGATGACAAAACTGCTTTTGTCAGCTTAGGGGAGGCACTTTGGAAGAGCCCTTGGCAAAAAAATCCTCCTAGCATATGATTTTGGTGGTAGCAGGGGGGTGGTTTCCACTGACACAAATCAAAGCCCCTGGAGTAGCTATACTCACAGCCGCATCTCTTGCCAACGTAATTCTAGTGGCAGGTATTTGTCCTTATATTTCGATTTATAGTTTGACCATATGAGCAAATTTGGCTGGAAAAGTGTATACACAGAAGTTTCATTTAAATACTGACCCCACGTATGTTTGTAAAAGCAGTATTTTACATCTAGTTAAAAAAGAAAATTGGGTTTAAAGAGACTGCTTTTGAGTATCTATTATACACCATGCATATAGGTTAACTAGTGCAATAACACTAAGACTGTTCTGCTGAAGACTACCAATACCACCATAGTGATGGCACTAAGCATTTACAAAAGCAATATTCTCAAATCCATTTTCAAACTTGATACTTTGGCAGAGTCTTCACACACAGGGAAAATTTGGTCAAAAATTCTTTAATGTCTGCAGTAAAAAAAACCCCAATGAATCAATCAAAATAAAGTTTCATAAAATTTTGACAAACATATGCCTGTGACAAAATATTTTAGGCCTGTAAAGACTGAAGTCTTCCACTTATAATTTATTATGTCAAACATTCCAAGACTGTAAAGTCTACTTCAGCATAGCAGTTTTCCTCTCAAGCATTTTATTTCAGAACTAACACATCATCAGATGAGAACTTGTCTTTGATGTTCATTCACACTGAAGCAACTTGACACCTTCTATGAGTAGGGCAGGCTAAAAAAAATGGAGTTTCAGTACACAGGGAATTCTAAGATTATACTCTCTTTTGCCTGAAATAAAAGCAGGACACCAAGCAATATACTTGTTAAGTACTTTTGACTACTACACACCTTTCCTAAATAGCCACCTTTTATGTTTACATCTGTTTTTACATTTTACCTGAGCGGAGAAGGCAGCCCCTGATAGCACTGCCAAAGCACCAGACCTGCTTTCTTTTTAATCTATTGCTGCTCAGTCTCCAAATTTCCAATCACAAACCTTCAGCCAGTGTTTTAGCCTGAATCATAAACAGGTATAGAATTTATCCAAGATGCATCTAGTTCTTCTCACTATAACAGACTATGATGAGAGAGGGATAGGTAACTACATTACTTCACAGCAAAAAGCAAGGTTTCCAGCATCCTGATTTCCACTGGGATCACACACATCCAAGGTTAACATACTGTGGTGAAGCTACACTAAACCAAAGGAAGCAACAATAATAATCCTGAGAGCACAGAGCTCTATCAACGATTTTAAAAAATAAAAACGCGGACAAGAGTGCTAAGTTGCTACGGATGGCTGCCTTTTCGTTTTGCTAAGGGTAAAGATAGCAATCATTTGCTCCTTTTGCTGGTGATCACCATTACTCTTCTAGTTTGACTGGAATATGTCCACACAGAAATAAAAGCAAACAAATACTTGCTCTATCTGTGCTTTCAGCTGAATGGATCCAAGCTAATTCCAGTTCAAAAATGATAGAGTGGTATTAGAACAATGATGAGCCGCTGCTTGTAAACCTTTAGTCCTCAAATCTTTGCCTTATCAGCTGCAAGGCATTGACTAGAAGACACACACTCAACTTTGATCTAGAAGCTGAAGGAAGCAGCTGCTGAGATACCACTTCTAAAATGGTTTATTTCAACGACCAATACACAACTACAGTCTTGACTGGCAAACACGGGAAAAGTTTAGCATGCTGTTCTACCCTACAAAGTTCAAAGCAACTTAACTTAGTTCACGAGTTACCCAGTCAGTAGAACTCGTATCAGTTTGTAGGCTGTATGTAAATTGGATTTAACACCACACACAACAGTTACCAAGTTTTACTAAATTACTAATCATAAACAGGTTCTGTAAGTCTGCAAGGAAGTATGGGCATCAAAACACAAGAATTGCTTCATGTTTGAGAAGGCATTTGGTACAGAGGTACTGATGTGCATTTGTTACTACAATTGTCCCAAAAGTTCCCTTTTCCCGACCCTTTGGTTGTCTAAGAACAATTAGTACACAACTCAGTTCTTGGAAACTGAAGAACAAAAAGCAATTACTGGTGGTAACAAATTCTAAAGGACAGCCATGTTTTCACACTGAAGTCAAATACAAAGTTTCATTAGCCAAAGTTCGAACTACTTCATGCTAAGAAACCAAACCATTTCAGCCTGACTGAAATAAATTTCAAGATTAATCTGATGTGTTTCAGATGAAACACTCAACTGTAGAAGAAGTGGGTTTGGAGGAGAGGAGACAGAACAGAAGTCTTGCTCTCTCTCTATATTTACATATATACTTTATGCACACATACAGAAGTATATATACATACAACTATAACACATTTAAGGCAGAGGACGATGTCATGATAAATTGTCCTCAGGTGCTCTAGCTGCCAAAGCAGGAAACAGATGAAGTTTTTCTGAACAAACTTTAAAGGAAGACCAAAGGTTTTAGCTGGATGCCCGTGAAGCAGCAGAACGGAATTCCCTATCGAATTCCTGAAGGGTGTAGGTGGCAGCTTCCCCCTCCCCAAAACCAGGTGACATCCCTAGGGAAACAGCTCATTTTAGGTTTGGTTCTGAACAGTAAGGAAGATCCAGTGGGGAAAAAAACCCCACAAAACACACCAAACATTCAGGTAGAAGGTAATTAGGGTGACAGTAACCATAAGTTTGTAATAATTATGAAATGGAAGGAATAAGCATGGCTAAACAGAGATACCTAGTGGTTTCTGAGGTTTGGGGGTTTTTTTATAGAGTCTCCTGGGAAAGAGCGTATAAGGGCTGTTACTGAAACAAAATCCCATACTAGCTCTAGAACCAGAAATCATACAGCAAGTTACCATGGCGCTGTGCCCACACCTGCAAATCTCACAGAGGCAAGACTTACCATAGGTGCAACACCAACACAGCTGTGCTGCTTTCAAGACCTAAGCTAACATCTCCAAGCAGCCAGAGGCATGTGGATTGATCAACAGGGGTCACTACCGACTGTGTCTGCAACACACTTCACCTCATGGCATAAACATGCTCTGTATAATAGGTACAGCTATAAGAGATTCAACTGCACAAACGATAGGAAGCCTAGTAAGAGGCCAATCTGATTTCATCTGAGGCTTTTTTTAAGTGACCTGTAAATTAATCAGACCTTAAAAAACCGGGTGCAAAGCGATTTCTAAAGTAAACCAGCGATCCAGTCAACCACTAGCAACACGGGATGTACACAGGAACTTCCATTAGAACTGGGACACATCATCCAGAGTATAATCTAGTAGAAACCCTCACAAACTCAAACACATTGTGTCTAAATGATTAGACATAATCATAGTCTTCCATAGTTGATTTAATAACACAAGTTTAATACCAAATTACACAAGTATGCATGTAATAGTATTTTAAAACAGAACAGCCCAAGTTGCAGATTTTGACTTTAAACAAGCTCTCAGCTAGCAAAATACCACATCCAGTTCTGTTGTCTGCGCTTCAAGAACATCAACATACCAGAGTATTTGTAAGAGGATCATATAAACAATAAAACAGCTATGTGAGTTCAGGAAACAACTTACTTGGCAAACAAAAGCTAAGGAGAATGTAAGAAGTAATAATTAAAACAAACAAACAAAAAAATTAAAACTGAAGACTTTTAGAACTTGCCGACAAAAATTTGGGGGGCTAAAATCATAGACTTGATTTTGAAATAAGAATATCCTAGTCAAAGAACTCTCAGCAATCTGCTTAAATTTAAATGGATAAAAGTGTAGTTTTCAGAATCACAATTAAAAAGAAATTCCTTAGCCTGTGGAAGCCAAAGGAAGAATCATCTGAATAACCATGGCAGCCTGTTAGCCTTGCTATCTTACACTCACTGACATCATCAGGGACACCAGAGAGAACAGAATTCAAGATCATGGTCCTAACTCTTGCAGCATCAGGCACTGGCCATACCCAAGACAGGCCACAGTGGAATAAAGAAGTGCTCCAAGATGATACAGAAAATCCCCTTTACAAACGTTCCGTTTCTGCATCTCTCACACGGACAGCAAAGGAGCTGTGTCTTTCAAACTCAGGAAATAATTTTCCCTATAGGGCTCCTTGTTTGCTTGTTATATGTTTGTTCTTCCAAGGCGTGAACCGTCTGCTTTGACTGAAGGCATTCCTCATTACATCCTCTGCTACTCCGCTCTATTTAAAGAGATACTTGCTAAGATACTGTTTTGTTCTAGCCCAAAATCTAGGCTTAATGTAAAGATACCTGAAGTTAGTGACTTGAAATATAAACAAGAGGTCCAACTAACAACTATCCAGCAAATCCCAATTCTTAATCTCTATAATGAACAAAAATAAGTAAGAGTCTTCTCAAATCCAGTAAGCCCAATTCTTCTGTAACAAATTTCTGGCAAGCGTCACTTCAGTTTCTCAGTTTAATTATCTCATATACAGGACTTTTTGTGGTATAGATTTCATTTCTGGTCACACTACCAAAAAAATCGTTATGCCTAAAAGATACATCAGAACGAACTCACATGAACACAAAGCTCTTTATACCTGAACCATTGAGAAAAATATTTGCACCTCCTGAGTTATTAAAAAAAAAATATCCATACTTGAATAAACAGGCTACGCATACAATAATCCTCACAAAGTGAATCAACAAAGTCAAAACCAAGCACATTGCCAAGACAGCCTGTGCCTGAGATAGCACTGTGCTCCTACTAGTGCTAGAGTAGCAATTTCTGTAATCAAGGTTAAGGATTTTATAGTACAGTGCGAGAGATTCAGAGGAAAATGATAAATAGTAGGATGAAACTGTTTCCAAATCCGCATTCCTG